TTTTTCACATGAAAATTAAAGATAGAGTTTGTATTTAAATTATGAGCTAGGAGGCTGAACTCTGACAACTATAAGGCATTTTATACACTGAATATCATTTCATGAGAAAGCAATGTTTTATTAAGTTAAGTGCAGTATTGAACTCACATTTTTAAGACCTCCTAAAAATATTTCGGTATCAAATCTTTTTACAAACGGTATGTTGACGATAAACCTGTGTAAATGAAATCCTCAATGGAATACTTGGTACATAAATTTCTTAGGACGCACGAATCAGTGGCATAGCGTGCCAAAGCTAAATCTTCGCGGTTTTTAATATTTCACCCTGCAATCAGCAGCGGAGAATCTAATCGACAATTTTACTATAGCAACACTGTATCTTATTATTACATCTCTATAATTTGATTTCTCAATTATAGTATGCTCATAGCTATCTGTAGAAACTGCTCGTAAAGTAAAAATGTATCTTAAAATTCAGACATTATTATCGACATATAATTTGAAAGACATAGCTCTTGCGAGAATAGTAAATGTAAGAGACATAAGCATGGATCATGGATAACGAGCGTCAGATTTAGGAACGATGCCGATGAATTACACTTTAATCACGCATGCAGGCAATCTTCCAAATCACGTTTTTGTAATTGGCACTGTGCGAGGATCTTATAGTTGTCAACGCGATCATGTATCTACAAATTGCAATGAAACAGGTTGCCTTTGAAAACATCTGTTGTGAGCACGTGATCGAAACGGGTGCTCGTTCTTTCGCGAATATCGAACAACCTGTTGGTGCGACGTAAGAGCGATTTTAACCTTGGCAAAAAGTATTCTTGCGAGAATTTTTCTCGAGTCGTTTGAAAATGCTGCGTAACATGCAGTCTCTCGTTACTCTTTTTTTATAAAAATCATATCGCAAATATTCCAACGATGCTTTTCCGTAACATACTGCAGAATGTAACTTCATACAAACGTATTAAAAAGTTCATTTCGAAGTTCAAAGAGGAAGTAGGACGCTTTTATCATGTTAAATTGACGCTCCAAAATGAAAAAAAGGACGGGCTATTTAGATGATCCAAATAGTTCGTGATATTATCATTTGGCAGAATTCATAGCGCAGTATTCCACTGACAAAACAACTTTACGGTCGAGACTGGAATTTCTGCCAAGGTGATTTTTACAACACTGACACGAATTCGTGGATACGTGGCGCAACGAAACCTGTTCCTGTTATTCGCGCGAACCTAGATACGCATTGTGCGCGATCACCGCGCGTTTAAAATCAATAAATCCTTTGACGAATCTTAAATAAATTTTGCATAAATGTTCCGACAAAAGATACAGAACTTTCGCGATTGATTTCGATGCTTCTGCGAACGGTGACGTGCTAGATATGAAAAGCCCGGGCAAAGCCGGGTGGTTTAACCCACTAACCCTCCTTAAAATTAGGACAAACGAAAAGAAAAGCTGGCCAACGTTCAGCAACACATGCCGCTCACGTGAGCGAAAAATCTTTCTTCTGTGTTTACATGTACGATTTACCGCCACGCATTCTTTTCTTACACGTTTTATCGTTATATTCCAATCGAATTATTTCGCGTTGTATTTCGATGGATTTTCTTTCTGCCTGCTATATGGCCACGCGTTATATTGCCGCACGCTATTCTTCTACGTTTTATATTTTTACGCATTGTTAATACGTTCTATTTCGACAGATTTTATTTCCTCGCGTTATATTGCCACGCGTTATATCGCCACGCGCTATATCGCCACATACTATTCTTCTACATATTATATTTTTATACGTTGTATTGTAATACGTTCTATTTCGACAGATTTTATTTCCTCGCATTATATCGCCACGCGTTATATCGCCGCGCGTTATATCGCCACGCGCTATATCGCCACATACTATTCTTCTACATATTATATTTTTATACGTTATATTGTAATACGTTCTATTTCGATAGATTTTATTCCCTCGCATTATATCGCCGCGCACTATATTACCACGCGCTATATCGCCACATACTATTCTTCTACATATTATATTTTTATACGTTGTATTGTAATACGTTCTATTTCGACAGATTTTATTTCCTCGCATTATATCGCCACGCGTTATATCGCCGCGCGTTATATCGCCACGCGCTATATCGCCACATACTATTCTTCTACATATTATATTTTTATACGTTATATTGTAATACGTTCTATTTCGATAGATTTTATTCCCTCGCATTATATCGCCATGCGTTATATCGCCGCACGCTATATTACCACGTGCTATTCTTCAACGTATTATATCTTTACGTATTGTACTTTAATATGTTCCATCTCGGCAGATTTTATTCCTATGCGTTATATCGCCACGCGCTATATTGCCGCGCCCTATTCTTCTACGTATTATATCTTCACACATTAAACTACGTATTAAATTCCTACGTATTGTATCGCCAAATCTTGTTCTTTTTACGCACTGTATCACCACGCGTTGTATTTCGACACGTACTTTGCCGCATTGTATTTCCACGCACTGTTACTATGCGTTGGTTCGCTAAACATAGTAGCGTTGTATTACAAATTGAATGGCATCCTATACACGTATCAATATTTCAGGAACCTTGTGATCAATGTATATCAATATATCAGCAATGTTAATAAATATTGAATCTATGTATGAATCGTCCGAAGTTCCCATTGGAACCAGTCGAAATTCACGAAACAACTGACGAATACCTGAGTAGATACGAAAGGTGTACTTGTAGTAATCAATCTCTAAGAGGTACCAAAACGAACGGTTCGCATGTCGCGTGAAGATTAATTATGTTTTCGTGATTCGTAAGGGCAATAGTTGGATGGATGATAGAGCGAATCGACTCTAGTATTTAGTATTAACACGCTAGGTATATTATCGACCATCTCTGGTGAAATTATAACAAGGCCACGAGTCCATATTGTTGAATGAAAGAAATGAAACGAATATCGACTTTTCGTACGTTAGAATGTGTATACCGGGTGTTCTAACGACGCATACGCGTTACAATGTAATCATTGCGCGTAAGAAAGAAACGTCTACGCAAAGACATTGCAGATATTAAGTCAGGTTTCCGTGATCGATGCATTATGCAACAAGTAGCCAAGTGCAACGTTCAGCCTATTCGCGCGAAAGTTCCATAAATATAGGTGAGAAGAACGTAGGTGGTATCATTGACGATCATAGTTAATGTGACGTATAAACAAAATAATTCTCGCGTGCGTGTAACTTTGTCCTTGTGTAATCGTTGAACTTAATTAAAGATGATGAACGTAGACACCGTGAATGCGAAGTATCGAGAACGACGGGAAAAATAGATTCGTATCAGACTATTGATGCTTTTCAGACTTTCACGGACCCAGATTTTTGAACATTGCTTTTCTGCGATTCACTTAAATCTGATACATTATTTCCTAAGTTCCAAAATACCAAAGCACTGATAAAGTATTCCTGATTCCCATAGACTCTAGAGACCTTTCAGCTATACACCTTCGTCTGGTTTCATTGACATTGAATGCTACACAGCATCAATTCAATGAAATGTAAAACAGTAAGACGTTCGATATCGAGTTTGTGGAGCGTTAAAAATTAATAGCCGGTGCAAACTTTTCTACTATTTCAAGATATTAATACTGTGTCAATCATTTTTCCAGACCGAATACATTTTTAAATCGTACAAACTAATATACACTACTGCATATGGTATGCCATTTATGTCCATATCCGTCCTACTTGGTATTGCGAAAGAAAATCCAAGCTAAACGATGACAGCAATTAGCATAGAAATTGTTTAACATGAATTAAACTAATCCGTAAAATCTGAATGAAGTAGTTAATAAGCAATCGCAAATCTTAATTCACCGATCCTTAAAACAATATTTGTTACATATGGATGTAAGGACTCAATTTCTATGGCGTATATTTATGTTGTATCCATCTTTTGTTCAACGTGAATGTCAAATGTGATCGTGTATATAACCTCCAATATTTTGCAGATATGCAAGGAATTATATGAAAGGATTCTACTTACAGGTACTAAACCGTGTGTCCGTATCAACTATACTGCCGTACGCATGTTGCCATCTTGTCAGCATTTCACAGCGTCAGAAGATAAATCCAAGTAAACCGTGAAAAAATTCCACGGCATGCACGTATACACGAAACGTAACCACTGTGGTACACACCCGTTCCGCACCCGGGTAGTGATTGACAAAAGGATGAACAGTTCAGCACTCAGCTCGACGGGAATATATAGCATCTGAGCACATTTGAACCGATCATCAGTAACGACTCAAGGATCCTTGAGCTCGCTTTCAATCTTTCACTCTTTCTTTCTTTTTGAAACGCTTTAGAGACCTGCACGAATCGGTGGCTCGTAAGCTATGCTTTGAAGAAACGCAAGCCGCGTATGCGACACTATCGAGATCTACGTCGTCTGTCATAGGCGCTGCCTAGGATTCTAAAGACTAGATGTAAAGCACGTAGAAGTAGCGTACATGTGACGGAATCGGTTATTTATTATTAACCCCTCGAGCCATGGGCGCGAAACAGCGTCCCTCTGCAAGTGTCATGGCGCGTTGCGCTCAGATTGAATTCTACTAAGGTTGCAAGATGCCGCCACGTATCAATATAAGCGCTATCTGTAAAAACTGGACATAATTTTGTAACTAACTTGTACACACGAGACAAATCTAACTTCCCTAGGGAAAATAGCGGTCAAGTGGTTCCCACTATCTGCTATAGCACGAGAGCGTTGGGATACATTACGATGCAATTCATAAAAATCGATAAATAAAATTTTCTCAAATAAATGCGTATTTTTGAAAGATATTGTAGCCATCTAGCGATAGAAAGAGAAAAAGAATGCAAATAAACTTTAAATAGAATGTCTGTATTTATTGATGTTTCCAATTTGCTAGTATTTGTAAAACATTCTAACTTGATTTAGTGTTCCTATTTGAAACATACTATTGTCGAATAAATCGGAAAAGTACACACTGAAATTACAACTGTAGATAAGGAGGGATTCTAGAACTACCATATCGATTGCCTAAAATCTCGAGTATTCTCTGTTTCTCTAGTCATCGGTTCAGATCGTTGGATGCGAATTCTTATACGGTGACTGTCTATTTCATATTTTGTCTATGATGATATTTTGAGACGTGGATATGTTGTACTTGTCAAACGGGCAGTAAAAAGTGAAAATAAATATGGATGGAAATCAAACAAACGTCAACGATCCTCAGTTTATTTCGTTCCAAGATTTTCCTTCGATAAATCATGGAGGGAATATTGGGCAAGCACAATTAAATATTAATGCTTCCACTCATCAAGGTTTTAGTAACCTACCAAATGACGCTACTGGAATCGGCATTATCGAGGACTTTGAAGGAATGCCCGATAAAACTGAAGGTTTATTATCTCATAATATTTACTATAGTTCTAAATACACATTAGAATTATTTTTCTTCTCACTATGTTTTAGGTATAGAAAGTATTAAATATTCATACACCTTTTCAGAACCATATTTTGTTCTCTTTTAGCTACATCAGCACCCAACTTTTGGACCATAGAATATTATCAAAGATTTTTCAATGTCAATACAAAGGATGTAGGGGAAAGAATTAAAAGGTCTATGTTTCCTTGTAGAAGCGATTACTTATTGATATCGCATATCAGACCAAATCCAGATTTGTATGGTCCATTTTGGATCTGTGTCACGCTGGTGCTTTCTATAGCTGTAAGCGGAAATGTAGCTACTTACTTGCAAACAACTACTTCAAATAAATATCTTTGGAGGTCTGAGTTTCACACTGTACCCAGGGTTGCAACTTGCATATTTTTATATGCATGGTTGCTTCCATTCACATTATGGGGTGCACTGAAATGGACCAATAGTTCAAGCGATACAGAAGAAGAATTAAGCGAGGTTTGGTATATTACTTTCTCCCTCTAAAAGGTATTATATTTTCTCTAAAACAAAACTGTATATTTTAGTCACATTCCACACCTAGCCTGTTGGAGCTATTATGTCTTTATGGGTATTCTTTAGCCATCTATGTTCCAATAGCTTTTCTATGGATAATACAAATTGACTGGCTTCAGTGGAGTTTAGTTGTGATAGCAACTGTATTATCTGGTGGAGTATTATTAAGATCTTTGTTACCTATAATAAAAGGTACTATCTATTGACAAGTTAAAATTTTTTAGCATTAAGAAAACATTAATATAGTAAATTAATTTTCAGGGAGGTACAGATTAATATATATCGCCATAATTCTTGGAATGCACCTCTTAATAGCAGGGTTTATGCTATATCTGTTTCATGTGCCGACAAATAAAGATACTGTTAAACCAGAGAACTTGGTGACAGTGACTATGAAAGCCAAGACTGTTGAGACTGGAACTACTGTACGTGGTATCTGATTTATATGACACTTTATATGGTACATGGTATTTAAGAGAATCGAGTAGTACGAATCGCACATGTCCGCTGATTAATTCCGTCTTCGTGCAAATAGAAGTAGCATTTATACCATACCTGTGAACGAAAAAAGAAAAATAAATAATAACTGAAATTTGTGGAAACTTGAGGCACTAGTGTTTATTAAAAAACATTTCAGTCGGCCCGTATCAATTAATGAATTATATATATATATGTATATATATAATAATAATAATAATTCCTGTGTCAGGGCAATATAGAAGGCCAACAAAGTGTCTGGTTGATTTATTTTCACAGCCCCCATTTTTAATAATAAGGGACGCGTTTACATATCAACGCAACACATATCATTTACAATCATACGAACCTTCATGTTGTACACAGTAATTGTTATTAGTAATCGTAATACAATAGATAGTAATTGTTATTAGTTGTCGTTAATACAATCGTACGTGATTCATTAATATTTTCTTCTATTCTTCCGTTTACAATTAACCAATACGACAAAAGGCAACATTCACTTTGTAACAGTATCGTCGTTACGTTAATTATTATCATCGCTCTATCGGTACATGTATGTATACCAAGACAGTAGTAATTTTTATTACGAAAAGAATGCGACGACGACGCGTGTTATCAAATAAGGTTAGCCAATTGATTTACGATCGTTTCACTCCGATATTCATTTTCAAGCCTCGCGAAGAAACTCCATTCGTTACAAACTTACAGATCTCGTGTGCAGACCTGATTGCCAGTTAAAAAGTCGTCTCATAATCGAACAGTCCGTCGAGCGATTTGCAAAAGGTGTAGCGCGATAGAGTAAAATTTAGCATACGTTTCGAGGTCTACGAAAAGTCTTCCATGTTACAAGCCCTGTCGATGTGAGCGTGTTTTGTGTGTACAAAATAGAAAAAAAGAAGTTCGAGCAGAGCTTGACTCTTTCTTTTTGTCTCGAAGAATCAAGTGTCTCTTGTAGCCTGTATTGTCCAAAGCTTCTTTGCTATAAAGAAAAACATTTATGAATAATTTTTGTCCTCGAGCATAAAAATAATAATACTCGAGAATGTTCCATGCATTGTATGACGTTTGAGATTGTCAGAAAATTTATTCGAACAAAGTATAAAAGATAATAAAGGACATCCCTGGCGCTTTATGGCGCAGGCGCAATTGGAATTCTCTTTAGAATTTTTTTCATTAGGAATTTATACTTCTTGCGACGATAAAATGGATTTTTATGCTCGAGAGATACATAATCAATGGATTGCGACGAAACAGGCATGGAAATTACGTTCTGAAAATGACGTTGATTCTTAGTATTGTAAAACGATTCGTATTTTATTACATCGTTTGGACATTGATATTTATGAGGATACAAGCTACCAGAAATATGTTCTCTGTTCGAGCGTGAGCCCCCGCACCGCTTACGTGTGCAAAGCGTTTCGACGATCACGGAATCGTTTCGTCGGAACGATTTCTAATTTATCAGCTAAAGAGAGCTCACAACGACTTGGTCCAACGTGTTTACAAGATATTACAGTCAAAGATTATGAATAGGCAGGAGCAATAATAACGAATAATAAAATCTACGACAGTCTACCAAGTTACTTGTTTTTCTTCTCTCAACGTTACACGCAACGCTACTTTGTTTCGTACCGTTATTCTTTTTTGTTAAATGTTAATTTTAAATCATGTTCCTCGACGCGTTCGCGCGAGCGTAATGGCGCGTTCAACGAATCGAGAAACAGCCTCGTAAATGTTTTTCTTTACTTATTACCGTTGTTATTTACAGTAAGATGTGTGTCGGGCGTATTTATCGTTATTATTATTAATAATATAATGTACAGTTTTCTCTCCTCTATTTCTTAAGTGCAAACACGCATATTTACTATTACAGAGACACACACGGAACCATCGTGAGCGGTGAACCGCACACGGGGCGCTCTTTAAATATTACACACACAAATAATAATAATGTTTACCCTGGTTTTATCAATTATTACAAGTATACGTATTTATACATATATATATATTTATATAACAATGCTCATAAATGTCGTACTCTTTATACAATCGTTGACTATTATTCTCTACCGTGTTACGCGATATTGCAATAATTTCAGGTTGATTATTCAGTCGCATGCTTAGACAGTACGTGAAATTATTCTTATCTCAAGGGTTAAAAAATTAAATTAACATGTTGACTGCCATAAGTAATTCAGTCAAAGAAACATTTAGATTATTAGAATTAGACTGTTCAAAAGATCCATGATATTCCGAATGAAGTAATTACCAGCTATTCGAATTATATTAAGCATATGGCAGACAACATGTTAACGAATGTAAATGAAATTTCTCGAACGAGTTCTCTTCTTTTTAAATAAATAATTTTTAACACCCGGTGACTGACACATTTGTTCATATGTGGACAATTTTTTATGGAGCCAAATTATAAATTCATGGAAGCTTGAATTCTAAAAATTTCCTTATAATTATAGAAAATTTATTAGTTACCAATTTTTATTTTTTAGAAAATGTGTCGCTTTTGTTAATCCAAAAAATATTGTGAACGAATGTGTAAGTCGGTAACTGAAAAAAACGAATGACACGGGAAAACTTTTTACTTAGTAATTTGTATTTGAATTGCATAAATTCGAAATACTTTCGTATCGAGGCAATTTTCAATCGTCGATCGAAGAGAAACGATCATAGTATCGCGACAGATAGAAGCTTGTGTATTTAAAAAATTCTTCTATTCGAACCGCTACACCTAATGTTTGTAATTATCGTTTACACGGATATTTAGAACGCGTTTCGTAATGAAAAACAGTCCTGTTTCATAGCGTATTTTGCGAGGAACTTCTACTCTTGTTGTACTATCTAGGTGAACGATACACACTTTCGAGAAATGAAACAAACAAGAATGAACGAAGAGAAATGAAACTTTTTCTTAGATCTAAGAACTCCAATTTCTAACATCGAACAAAAACAGAATTGTTCGAAAAACAAAACGAAGTGTTGAATGCCCATAAACTAAAGAATAACAACTACCCCACTTTCGTTTCTAAACAGAGATGACAAAAATCGTTTTTCTCCTAAAAAAATCTGATCCTCGATTTTTCTATCGTCGTCGAATCTCTTTCGTTTTCTTGAGTTTTGAAATCGTTTCCCGCGTTTGCAACGAAAAAGAACGGTAATCGTAATAAATAAATAAATAAAAATTGAAACCGGTCTTACCATAGCATTCCGAAAGATAACTATTATCCATTTGGTCGGTTACTTAGGACAGATATTTATCCTTATCGTCTAACGATTGAAAAAACTACGAGAAACTTACGTCGAAGAGTACACAACAATTTTGTATCGTACAAGAAGTGTTAAATTTGTTTGTTCGCTGTTTAGTCTGCGCTAAATCTCCTTTTCTCTCTATCATTCTATTCTATCGTACACACGAATTACGGTTCTAAACATATCTAGTTAAGAGCTTCGTAAAAATCTGCGGCTATATACACGGGTGAAACTGTTTCGTGAATAGTATCGCGTTAACGCTAGAACAACCGATGTTGAACGTCTGTTTTTAACGCAAATTAAATATAAACGAAAGACCTTCAATTTCCATATTAAAGTTTTCAAACTTCCAAATGCAAATTTTCAAGTTTCATCAAATTTCTAAATTTTCATATTCCTATATTTCAAAATTCAAAATTTTCAACTACTCAGTTCCCAAAATATGTTTTCTTGAACCACCACATTAGAAATTCTCGGATTTGAAAATCCTGAAATTCCCGAATCCCCGAGTGAGCGTAGCGAAGTATAAAAATAAAAAATCGAAAATTCGTCACTCGGTTATTCCAGTGTTAATAAAAGCATGCCAGAGGATAGAAGAAACAGGTGTGGAAAGAGGGTTTAATATTGTCTCATCTGTTCGACAGAATTCATGGAGTTCGCTGAATTCGATGCAAAGTTATAAAAAAGGGACGTTTTTCGTTTACTCTAAACTCTTTTGATCAGTGTTCCACGTTGATCGATTCGTTGGATCGATCGAACGGTTGCTTTGATATACAAACAGGTACGTCGATTACGTGCGATTTGAATCTTCATATGTTTAATATGAATCGACTGGGGACACGCGTGGAAAGTGGAGAGCGAAAATAAAAATAGGAATTTGACAACGAGAAATTATAATACAACCGTAACACAGCGAACTCTGTTCAAAAAAGGTGTCCGAGCGAAAACACGGACACGTCTGTATTTATTAACCATTTAAAACACAGTGATGCCTGTATCGCTCTACGTGTACCTCTCTTTCATTTGCATCAAACGTTCACATCTTTTTTTATCATTTTCCAGGCTGCATAGCAATATCTCGAATACATTACGCAATATCTCGATCACCTTAAGCATTAGTCTTTAGTGTTTGATTATTATACTACAGTAATATACAGAAAATCGTGGTTCTCGACTCGGCAACCTGCTCGTCCACATTTTCCGAACTTTCAAACAGTTTGCAATTTCTGGACCAGCAGCTCGTCGAGGTTATCGAATAATAATTACATATACGCTAATTATATATATATAATCGGCCCGTGTATATTAAAATATAAATATCAAATAGACTTCTTGCCCCCAGGATATAATATGTGCACCTACGGCGCGCGACTTAAAAATCGAGAAACGTTCGTTCAAGTAAGATTCTATTTCTTGTCGAACAAATTCGAAGCTCGCTACTATCAGAATTAAATAATCTTTTTACAGAATCTTGCGACTCAGAATTTTAACGGTCTCATACTGCCACGTCATATACTTCTTGCCCACACATTCACGCGTTTTAATTTTACTCAACATACTTCGACAATTTTGACATCAGTGGCAATATAAGTTCACTTACATTAAAATTATCACAAAATTACAATTCATATTAAGTTGATCATAAAATTATTAGGTTGCAACATTTTGCGATAGTAACGAGCTAGATTAGAATTTTGGCCGTTTGAAAGACAATCTGACACTCCGATACGATCACCGGTTGCATCGAGTATGACGAGTTTTGGGACCGGTTGCATTACGTAAATCACTCGCACGTTGGAGTTCACAATTTAAAGCCTATGTTTTGATTTATCTGCTGATTGATTTCTCGTTTCTTTCCGTCGT